ATGCTATTTCAAATCTCATCTTTACCTGATCCTCATAAGTGCTAGATCTGTTCTAAATAAACTACCGATGCTCGGAGCACTCACAGTAATATACAAACCCCCTATAATTGTCATCACTGAATCTTGGTGTAATTCGAACATACTGGATGAAGAGATAAGCTTAGATAACTACACACACTTTCGGTGTGACAGGGAAGGTGGAAAGGGAGGGGGTTGTCTCATGTACTTTCTGAATGCACTTACTGTATCACAGCTAGAAAGTAGTACACTTAACATGCCTGAGACTTTATGGGTTAACTTACACTTAAATAACGCAATAGTATTAACTGGATGCACCTACAGAGCACCTGGCACCTTTAGTAATTACGAGACCCAACTCATTATAACTCTGGAGCAATTATCCACCTTAATATACGATCATAAGATCCTATGTGGAGACTTTAACTTACCTAAATAAACTGGGATATACCCACAGGCCCAACTAAATTTGATAAGTTCTTAGGCCCACTGGAAATATTTGGCTGGAAACAAACTGTCACTACCCCTACAAGAGGTAATAAAGTACTAGACTTAATCTTCTGCCACAATATAAGTCCCCTTTCTACCCTACTAGGTTCTGAGTTTTCAGGGAGTGACCACAAAACAGTGCTGTGTGCACTGCCACTTCCACCAAGGAGCAATGCAGCCCACACCCCTACTTCGCAACAAATAACATACAGGAACTACAGTAAGGCAGACTGGACTCTAGTGAAATCAATGTTAAGATCCTCAGAATGGAGAGAGTACTTCTATACTGATAATCTCTCGAAAGCTCTAGACATCTTTTACTATAACTCAAACACATACTTAGACGCTGTGATCACATTGCAAACAATAAAAGTCTCAAAATTCAAGAAGCAATTTATTCATCCAAACTGAAGAGACTGTCAACAAGGTAATTCAGACGACACAACTTTAGTACACTAGGGTCAATACTTAGTACTCTTAGCTCCATCTCGCAAGCTCATAACTTGCGTATGAGAAATGAAGAATGCACCGCACTAGCCAGCACCACCAGAGTAGGTGCTCTCACAGAAATCCTGAAGAAACGAATGAATCGCCAAAACCATTAAATTTCTCTCCTTATAAACAAGGGTAAACTATACAGCAACCATGCAGACATGTGTGAACCGTTTAACGAGACGTTTGCAGCTAACTACTTTAAGCCCACAAGTCCACCTCTCGGTTTACAATCTACAATGGAACTCCCTTCTTCTTCAACGCTGAAACGAATCAGTACAGTTCATTTCACTTATTCTAATATTAACCGAGCCATTAAAAGTCTTAAAAACTCTAGTAGTGCTGGTATTGACGGTATACCATCGTATCTTTATAAACACGGTGGTCCTGACATTTCCTTTTTATTACTTAAGATCTTTACAATGTCCCTAGAAAGCCAAACCTATCCAGATAAATGGAAAACCACATTTATAATACCCAAACACAAATGCGGATCGAAAACTGAAGTCAACAACTATAGGCCAATCAATATTACACCCATAGCATCTAGAATTATTGAAAGAATAGTTAAAGGTGATATTCTCAAACGTATGCTCAGCTGCAATATTCTAAGTCCCAACCAACATGGATTCCTAGAATCCAGATCATGCATGACCTGTCACCTTGACTTCTTTAACTATATAACCAGTAGCCGAGACAAACAACAACTAGTACTAGTCATCTACTTTGACATCTCCAAAGCCTTCAACCGCGTTGACCATTTGCTTCTAATAAATAAGCTGAACTCCTTAGGAATACGTGACCCATTATTAGGATGGCTTGAGTCATTCCTTAACAATAGGTCCCAAGTAGTTAGACGGGGGTCTGTAAACTCTAAACCTAGTCCAGTCACTTCTGGAGTAGTTCAGAGTAGCGTCTTAGGCCCCCTTCTATTCACCCTATATGTCAACGACATATGCATTTGTTTCTCGCTTGGCAAACCATTCACCTTTGCAGATGATCTTAAAGTAGCTTACACATTCCACTGTGATGACTTAGGATACTTTCAGAAAGCTGTTCAGAAAGAACTAGATAGAGTAACTGCATGGTCCTCCACATGGAACCTAAAATTCAACCTTAAAAAATGTGGTTGGATCTGTTTCGGTGCACCCTCAATAAATATCAAACTGGTACTTGAATCTATTGACTTGCCTAAACTCCAGAGTGTTGTTGACCTAGGACTCGGGTACTCTAGTGACCTGACATTTTCTGAGAAAGTGGCAACATAGACGCGTAAATCGAGGATGCTCTTAGGATGCACACTCAGGAATTTCCACAACTACGAGGCCAAACTTATATCATGCAAAACATGTGTCAGACCACTACTGGAAAACTGTCCATTCATTCTCAGCAGCACTCGTGTGTGTGACAGGCTTAAAATAGAAAGCGTCCAACGATACTTCACGTCTAAACTACTAGGAATTGACTGCGAATAGGACTACACGTCAAGGTGTATGACTCTAGGTATCGACCCACTCTGGTTGAGACGACTCAGCATTAATCTAACATTCTTCTTTAAAGTCTTGCATAAAATATCATTCTCAGACAGTAATGAGATACAGTCCTCGCCGGAAGGCTCCTACAACCTGCGTTGCATTGATCTACATTCCGACTGAAGATGAGAATTCGAAAGTCACTTACTCATATATCATCCCTCAAGGTTTGGCTAGTAATGATGAAATCCACTGTCAGCATAACAAGACGCTGTACAGCATCTTATACAAGCACTTTCAATGATCTAAAATGGCTTACATATAGCTATCTACGTGTTAATCAACTTACTCGTACGGAACAACCATGCAGTGACAAATGGCGGGCTCTGGGTGACTTGGATGCAGTAAAACAAATCTGCTTGACAATAACCAATATTAATCTGCATTCAGTAGAATTCACATCTGGTGTTAATTGCAATAAAATTGATGCAAAAATCATACAAATAAATCACTGATTTTAAATTATTACCCAATTTGAACATAAAACAAGATACGATGCCGCACTCAACAAAGTTATATGGAGGAATTGACTTCAAGCTTTATTTTTTTCCCAAATATTTGTAATTTATCCAACACATACTTGGGTTTTTTTGTTAATGCGAAGAAAATATTTCTATAGTTCTTAATGTGCTCCACTGAACGACTAGCTATCAGATTGTACTCACTAACTAATGTAAATAATACTTATCCATGCCTGTACAACTGGTGTGTCCTACATAGATAGAAAAAAATACATATCTATGTCTATGTTTGAAAGGGCGGCCGGTCAAGACGATAATTGCCAGTATAGTGGGTGTGGACCTGCTGCAATGTGATAGAAAACTTGATCACAAGCAGGCTAGATCCTGGAAAACCGATACATCTGTGGATTAAATTACACAACCAGACATTACCCAAGAAAGCTTAAAATCTCTCCCAACTATTTACCTCAGTTACGCTGATTTTGAGAAATCTGTAAATACGATCTAACCTGGGATAGTTTGACCATTACATCGACACTAGGCAAATACTTGTAAACTTCGATCAGTAGCTATATCATCATACTGCATAAAAAGCAGTTCACAACAGGGATCTCACTAAAGCAAAGATAGGAGTAAGAAAGGGACGCCTGCTATCACCGATGACTTATTTAGATGTGGTAGATCAGATTACGAGTCAGACACTGTGGATTAAGAAGACGAGCGTAGGCTGAACCAACAAAGCGTCACTGGGGGCTGGATTTTTCGGACGATACTTCCTACAAAAAGTTAGAAGATACAACGAAGTCAACAGAACAGGTAATGAGGACAGGGCTTCAGGAGGATATTGAGAAGATCTGAGTTATGCAGATTCCCTGGGATTAACAAACAAAACTAATCAGCATCCTGGGGAGAACTGTCAAAGGAATCTCATTTGATCACCCGGGTAGTATCTTTTCCACAACAGACGTTGCCGACGAGGAAATTAAGGCAAGCAAGAAATGGATGTGGGAGGCTAAGTGAGAGTCAACCACTCGGAAATCAGTAGGGAAACGTATGTCACCAAGAACAAGGTGCAAGATCCGAATTCCTGACAGAAATGCCAAGTTGATGCATTTGTGCGGTCCAGACACCTGGTAATCGCGTTACTTAAGGATTTCTGACAGCTAGCCTGAGACTTGCATCAACAGCTGCCTTTGCTTTGTGTTTAGGATCAAATAACCTTCCAGGAAGGATAAACATCGAGGAACTGTAGAGACCAGTGGGAAAGTAAACAGCTTGCCATTCAATCAAAAAATATTTGGAAGGAAATGAAGATGGGTTCGACATACGCTAAAGTGACGTTTAAGCGACATCACACGTCGGGCCCTCAGATGCAACCCGGGTGGGAAGCAAAGATTTAAGCATCCGAGGGTGACATGGGAATTAAGTGGAGAATAAATTGGGGCATTTCGGTAGTCGCAGAGACTGATGAAATTATGACAAACCAGTACAGTGGAGGTGTGCCTGTGAAAACCTAGGTCCCACTTTGACCTCGAAGTAGGAACGACAGAAGTTAATATTAGTGTCACGAGAAACAAACAAGGTTTCACAATAGAAGTCCCAATAATATCAGCCAATCATGCTGAGAAATCTGTACACACTAATGCTAATGCTGTTGATAAGTTACATTTCATCAGCCAGAAACTTAATTTATCTATGTACCCAATAATCCAATATTGCACCTAACCCGTAAGTACTGATGAGAGAACAAGAATTAAAAGAGCTTGGTTACTAGGGAAATGTGCTCTGGTGCGCAATATATATTTATGTATATATATGCATATTTAAATATATTTAAGGGAAAGAATATCCAAGGAAGGTGTAGAAATTATCTGAAGAATATGGTTATGTTACAGTCTCCACGAATGTGCATGTTGACAGCACAACGGTAAAGAGCAAATGGCAGTGGGGGCAGTTCGTATATGTACACTTTAAAACAAGATCGTAAGACATTGGAAATTGCACAAAACACTCACCAGCGCCATTTACAAACGAATTCTCTTCACACACCAAATCGTCGGTCATGTCTGATAGGAAGGCTGAATTAGAGAGGAAAAAAGCTAAACTTTTAGCTTTGCGCGAGGAAAAAAAGAAAAGGGAGGAGGGCAAAAAACCTGATACAGATGCTATCGATAAACATCAAACAGCAGATGATTTGTTGAAAGGTCTGGGTTTACCTGCTGTGTCATCTACATCAAGCTTGAATTTACGCGAATTGGAGTCACCGTCTAGTACCATAAGTGATGGCCTTCCGTGAGTACATTTTTGTATAAATTTTTACTTGCTGTTGCACAGATGTATGTTGTAGGTGTTTCTTTTAAAAGAAATAACTGTAGTCATTTCATGGTGTTATTCCTTAATGTTAAATATTTTTGCTCAGTTTGGTCTTATATTTTTTTATTTGCACATTACATCTAAACATGAAATTGACTGAATAAAATTGCTACTGTAGGACTTATTACTATCCCAAGCTAACTATAATGCTGAATTAAATCTCACTAATTCTGAAATAATTCTAACATTCTATAGTGAGTAAATTCTGAATCTGTTCTGAAATGGATTCTTTAATGGCACAGACTAGAAATCAGTGCTGGTTTTTAGCATGACTGGCACTAAAACAGCACCGTGTTTTCTTTTTTCTAGGCATTTTCAGGAGTAGATCAGAACCTACTGGGTTTACTAATCAGCGTTGATCCAGCCCTCACAGGACATTATTTAGCACGACTAGAGTAGTGCGTTGATAAAATCCTCATTTATCATAAAAAAGCATTATCGAAGAATAGGTTAGAATAAGTTTAGAATTGTTGTAAGCTTGGGTATAGAGACTTGAAATCGTACAGTATGAGTACATCTGTATTCTGTGAAAAAAAATAAACAGGAGTAATTCAGTCAAATGAAAGGATGACGATGAATTAATGATTAATAAAGACCACAAGAAGTTGATATATCAGCGACAAAAGGGAAGATTTAGTGTCATTTAGATTGATTGGTTGAGGAAAGAAGGCTTGGAGCCTATGTTAGTCCTTTTCTAATAAATTTCTGTGGTTGTTCAAACCCTTCTTGAATGAATCAGTTGAGGTCGCAGACATCACTTCTTCTGGGAGTCAGTCGGTTCCAAGGGTTTATGACTCGATGTGAGAACCAGCAATCAACAGCAATATGATTTCTTCTTGGCGTCTGAACTCTCGTGCTATGTCCTCTAAGGCGTTCCGACCTGGTGGGAAGAAAAAGAGATAATAGGTCAGGTCCATCGACATGACACCTAAAGTCTCAAACTGCAGTTGACCCATACAACTGAGTAAACAAAATAATCAGACTTCGATTCTATGCGTGACTACATCTCAACCATTAAGAGTGACAGGGTGAATTACTGCACAGTTCACACTTTGGTTAATAGGTAGACATCACATCTGAGCGAAAATTGATGCAAGTTGACGCCTGTCACATGAGTTTTTTTATGTGCTGAAATTTAGAGTTGATGCTGCTTCCTAAATGCGTAGATTAGGGATCACTCCTAATCTCTAAACTACGAGCTTGTGTAGACCTGTCCCGCAGCAGCATCTTTTATTCGGCGGTATCTGGTCGCATTCCAAACCACGATTGTTTTTGTCAAGGTGTTCAAAAGACTACATCTTTCTAGAGTTATCTAAAGGACCTTAAGTTGATAAGACTTTTGTGTAATTGCAAGTCAACCTTCACAACATCGACACATCTTAAATCGGAAATTTTTCCCCACGTAACATTTCAGTCTCTAGGTCGCCAGATTCGCTGACAGTCAACTCCATCAGTACATCTGTAATTAAATTGAATGAGAGTAAGTATAGTGAGCCTGCCTAAACTCCATTAGTCGCTGTTATTTCTGATGCGGCTCCACAATTTCAAGCACAGTGCTCTAATTGGTTTATTAATATATGTGTAAAACTTGGCCACTGTGGTGGTAGTAATTCCATATTAGCTTGTTTATTAGATGTATCACCACACTGTCTGTGAGTGAAACAGTATTAGTATTTACTCGATGACAAAGTTTCGAACACACTTCATCATTGTGATTCATAATCATATCACCAATTATAATCACACGACTTTGAAAGTTGAGTTTTATAGTTTTCTTTGTTCTCTCCTATTTGTCGTCATTGGAGAAGCAAAATTTTCCAGATATCCGACTGGACAGGTGTTGAATCATTCCTATTGCAGGCACGTATTTGCAGTTGGTTCTATAAACAAAGCTGCTTCAACTGCAAATACATGTAATAGGAATGATTCAACACCTGTTCACCCCAATAATAATATAATAAGGTGAGCAATATTGAGGTGAGGCGTCGAGTGCTAGGTAAGGCGAGGAAATCAGTCGACGAAACTGTGAAATTGCATCGACTGAGATGGTTAGGACATGTGTTGCGTATGCACGCCTAGTCATCGCCTTCCTCGACAATGGGCAATGTTAGCTGATATAGGACCAGGCTGGAAAAGAGCTAGCGGAGGTCAAACCAAAACATGGACTCACCAGTCAATGAAATCCACAACAGTTAGTCTAAGCCACGTAGGAAGGTGTAGACTGGCTTCCTGACTGATTGGGGTCCTCGGGATGGTAAAAACCAATGGTTGGAAACAATTGGTGACATGTAGAAAATATCCCCATTTAGACATTTGAGAAAACAGAAAGATTGAGCGAAGAAATATTTACTTTTCAATTAGATCCTCTTCCATGGCTCTACTCTAATATATATAGCATTTTTTACAATACACAACAATTTACCAAACACGTGGCGATACGTTTGTTAACAATAATTAACCAGTGTCAAAATGTCAATGGGTAGATAATTAAGGAAGAAAATTAATACACACAATTAAAAGGTAGAAATGGATAGAATAAATTAATTTCACAAGAATAACACGTAATTAAAGATGAAGTGGTCAAAATAAAATCTAGATAATTTGGACAATTATAATGTAATTTTACAAGAATAACACGTGATTAAAGAAGAAGTCGAAATAAAAATAATTTGGACAATTATAATTTAATAGGGGGACTTCTTCTTTAATCACGTGTTATTCTTGTAAAATTACATTATAATTGTCCAAATTATCTAGATTTTATTTTGACCACTTCATCTTTAATTACGTGTTATTCTTGTAAAATTAATTTATTCTATCCATTTCTACCTTTTAATTGTGTGTATTAATTTTCTTCCTTAATTATCTACCCATTGACATTTTGACACTGGTTAATTATTGTTAACAAACGTATCGCCACGTGTTTGGTAAATTGTTGTGTATTGTAAAAAATGCTATATATATTAGAGTAGAGCCATAGAAGAGGATCTAATTGAAAAGTAAATATTTCTTCACTCAATCTTTCTGTTTTCTCAATTGGTGACATGGCCTAAAATCGCTTTCAGTGGTGCAGATGCATCCACTCCTTGTGACTTATGATTTCCAATTAAACTGTTTTGTTCTTCGCTATTACTATACCTTTGTGTCACACCTCTGTTTACTGTCTCTCTATTATGCATTTCTCCTACTTTCTTCTCTTGTTTTGTGTGCTACATGGAGTGTGGCGACTTGAACTGCCGCACATATGTGCAAAGTTCTATGTCGAAAACCGACCGATTATGAACAGCAATGATGAATTGTGTTCAAAATTTGTCATCCAGTAAATATTAATACTGTTTCACTCACTGACTGTGTGATACATCTAATAAACAAACTAATATGGAATTAATTGGTTTAATACAATCTCCCAGCCCTCCCTTATCTGCCAGATTTGACCACAACATCTCTTGATGGGTGGGATTTTTGTTCTGTTTTCGGGTTCAAGAAAAGTAAAACCCAAACTATAGAAAAGTAAACGTGTGTGTGGTATCTCATTAACTTTATTTCTGCTTTAGGACCAGCTGATAGGTGAATATGTGGTTGGTACATCATTTTATGAGTCGTCATGAGCACTTCTCCTCAGGTCTTGTTGGAAATTAGAATCTAAGAAACTGCTAGTCAGACAAACCCTTTTATGACTGTATACATACTAATGAAGGTAGGATAAGATATTTTAGGCACACTGACTGAACACCATTGGAGCGCAATGCTAACTGAAATAAGAATCAGTTAGTAGAACAGTTAGATGTGGTCAGTAAAAGTGGCATCAATGTATGGCTAAGTCTGTGACTGTTGGTTTGAGCTACATATAGTGCGATGCTGACTGCCTCATGTTTGATGCATAAACGCAAACTGTTGGTTTAAGTAGTATTGTGTCGTATTGCCTTCTTAACATTCACATGTTTGTTTTTCTCTCTTCCTCTTCGTCCATTGTACTTGGCTTACACTGAATTTCTTTCCTGTAGTTGTGTGTATGTGCGTGTGTGTGTGTTTGGGGTAGCATAACAACCACGTATACTGATGACAAGTTCTAATTTTGTAAATTCAGTCAAACTGCTTAACTTGATGACGACGATGATGTTCCGAATAAATCTCTAGGGATTATTGGTTGTATGGCCGCAAATCGACTACATAGATGGCAATATTTTCATTTATTTTCATTGAAACATAATCCGTGACTGTGATTTAATTACCCTGTTATTTGTTCTGCTTTTCAATTTCTTTTCACCTTCCCCACTCACCTCTTGCGGAACACTTAATAATTATTCATCTCATATTTACTAACTATATGGTGCATTTATTGGTGCAATCGAAATCCTGCGTTTCGTTTCCACATATGCTATTCAAACTACTGTGTGATAGTATAAACTAATGTCTGTCTGTCTGTTTTCGACATAGAACTTTGCACTGATATGCAGCAGTTCAATTCGCCACATTCCCTCCATGTAGCACACAAAGCTAGAGATGAAAGTAGAAGAAATGCATAATAGAGAGACAGTACACAGAGATGTGAGACAAAGGAGTAGTAATAACGAAGAACAATATAGTTTCGTTGGAAATCATAAGTCACAAGGAGTGGATGCATCTGCGCCAGCCAGCCATTGATAACGATCACTTTGAGTCATATCATCACCAACTGTTTCCAGCCTTCATTGGTTTTTACCGTCATCCCGAGGACCCCAATCAGTCAGGAAGCCAGTCTACACCTTCCTACGTGGCTGGCTGGCTGGATGGCTTAAACTAACTGTTGTGGATTTCTTCATTGACTGGTGAAGTCATGTTTTGTTTTGACCTCCACTGGCTAGCTCTTTTCCAGCCTGACCAATCCTATGTCAGCTAACATTGCCCATTGTGGAGGAAGGCGATGACTAGGCCACGCATACGTAACACATGTCCTAATCATCTCAGTCGATGTAATTTCACAGCCTCATTGTCGATTGATTTCCCCTCCCACCTACCTAGCACTCCACTGACGCCTCACCTCAATATTGCTCACCTTATTATACCACTTCACACGGGAGATGGAACTGCTGAGCAGTACACCCGCTGAGATTTCGTCAGAGATCAACCCGTTGGCGTTGGAGCTGATGGTACTTCCCAAATAAGTGAAGCGGTCAACGCGCTCCACAAACCACTTCACTCCCCATTTCTAAACAAGGAGTCAATGTAGTCCACTTCAGTCCTGTAGCCTCATCATCTTACATTTGGCGGGAGCCAATGTAAAAAATCTAACAATGGTTGATAACTAATGAAAAAGTTGTAGTGGCCAGCTGATTATTGGGATTAGAGGAGACTTTCATATCTTATGATTTTTGTGATCATCATTATTTATCAATTTATTATTATTACCAATTCTTCACATTCTCAGTGGGACATAGGGCTTCAAGCTAGAGACTTGAAGTTTCTGTAGCAGTGTTTATTTTTTTAGAGGATGGAGTTGCTAGCCTCATGCCCAACCTTTCCTCTTTACCAGCTTTATTTCTAGCTTGTGATCATCATACTTTCAGTAACCATTGTTGAATGCTTGTATTTTTTTGCTGGTACTATTAAAAAGAGTTTTTATGCACCTAATATCATAATAATTGAGAAAGTGAAGCCAATATATCCACCCATCTAAGCCCTTTGAACATGCGAAAAATGATGTCACATCCTCTCACTGTATTTACCAATTTGAATGTACGTGTGGCCACACACATGCATAGGGAGGACTCGTGGATCTCTGGAAGTAAGGACTGGCTTCAGAGCATATTCCTAAATGGCTCCAGAAACAAACAGAATCTTCAGAACCGATTAATGGTGACAACAGACAAAGACCTAGCTCGACCTATTGCGAAACATATTGTAGAGGAGACAGGACATAAAATTGACGTTAACTAACACATCTTTTAAACCTATCTATCTATAAAAGCGTGTTTGGGGGAGGGCGTATCCTAAAGTTTGTGGAAGCTAGCCCTAGCTGTCGGTTAGGAAGTTTAAACCACCTTTATGCGTTCAAAGCAGGAATTTGTCATCACATTAAACCTTCCTTGGTAAATTTTGTTTTGATACCAGCCAGGGTAGATGTACTATTACCTCTGTAATTTGGTTTAGTCATTCATCTTCATTGTTATTTTGACCTTCAACATGTCCTCCTTTTAACTTGACCTAAGTAGTCAAGTCAAGTCTATTTTCTCACCCACCTCTTAACTCTCTTTATTATTTCCACATGTGTATGACATTCCTATGACAAGTCCGTGTGTGTGTGTGTGTGTGATGGATCAGATTGTTCGAAATGTGTGTTGCACGCAAATATGCACATTACACACACACACACACGATTCAGACAGACAAATTACGTCTTCCTTCTTATTGCTGCTTTATCTAAATTCATAAAGGGAACATCAATTGTTTTGAATTATTGTTTCACAAAGTTGGGTTCACAAGATTTGCATATTTGAGTTCAGTCTAATCTACATCTAAATGGTGTGGTGTAGCAGCTTGTACTACTTCTACTACTACTACTACTAATACTGTAGTGTGTCTGTGTGTAGTGCTTGATATTACCTGTTCATCTTTCAGCTCATAGTGTGTAGTAAATTTCAGCCTTGCACTATACAAGAGAGAGAGAGAGAGAGAGTAACTGACTCCACTAACACGATTTTACGCTTCTCTGTTGTTTTCTATTTTCAGTAGTCGTGTTCCAAAAAAGCGAAAGAATCTACAAACTTCTGAAATTTTTGAAGTTGTAATAACATCGGAAGTAATAGCTTACGACAAGGAAACACAAACAGTGGAAGAACCTGAGGAACGAGAAAGTAAGCAGCTATGATATTCGGTGTATAATGTATTTTTTTGTTTACAATCTAAATACCCATCCTCTTTTTTATGTTGAAATTATGTTTATAGTGATATGGTAATAGTTGCAAGAGATCCACCTGTCTACCAGGATAGACCAAGCTACGTAGTTTGGTTAATAAATGTGTAAAACTTGGCCACTGTGGTGGTGGTTGTAAGTAATTTCCTTATTAGTTTGTTTATTAGATGGATGTATCACACACAGTCAGTCAGTCAGTGAGTAAAACAGTATCAGAGTATTTACTGGATGACAAAGTTGTTTCGAACACAATTCATCATCATTATTGCTGTTCATAATCATACACATCACCAATTATTATAATCACACGACTTCGAAACTTGAGTTTTATAGTCAGTCTTCTTTGTCCTCTCCTATTTGTCGTCGTCATTGGGGTAGTAGAATTTCCCCGATATCTGGCTGGACAGGTGTTGATTTGGAGTTGATTCGATAAACAAAGCTTCCGTTATCAATCTTCCCCACTCGCCACTCCGTTAATTGCATTAAATTATCAAACTGTCATCTTATCCCATCCAGCCTATTGTATTTTTGAGTGTGTGTAATTGAATGCAATGCTTGCGATAACTGCTGAACAATTCTCTAGATTTCTTATCTTATTCGGGTCAACTAATCTAGATTTCGCTGCTAGGTTTTTATGCTCGACTAGTCCGACTCACTGCACCTGTTCTAGTACTTTGACCTATGTATTTGACCTGACAATCATCGCAGGTAGGGTATTAGATAAACTAAATTGTTTTGTCGGTTAAACGCTCCACAGGGTTGATCCTTTAACCGACAAAGCTTGTTTCTAATTGAGTTTGTGGTTGGTTTGAATTCCAGCAGCCACTTTTATTCCTGCCAGCCTTGTTTAGAATTCTCCGCTGTAAGGTGGTTTCCGAGGTTCCTTTCTTGTATGGAATTACTACTGGTGATTTAGATTCCTTATTGTTGGTGTTGTCATCATGTAATGTAACAGGAAGCTTTATTTATGGAATCAACTGGAAATAGGTGGCTGATTCAACACCTGTCCAGCTGGATATCTGGAAAATTCTACTACCCCAATGAGGACGACAAATAGGAGAGAACAAAGAAAACTATAAAACTCAAGTTTCGAAGTCGTGTGATTATAATTGGTGATATGATTATGAACCACAATAAGTGAATTGTGTTCGAAACAACTTTGTCATCCAGTAAATAATACTGTTTCACTCACTCATGACTGTGTGTGATACATCCATCTAATAAACGAACTAATATGGAATTACATAGTGTGATTTTTTAATTCTCATTTGTTTTGGGCAAAATATTGTCGAATGGTAGAATACGAAAGTCCATTATAGATAAGATTTTATTTTGATAAATCACACAGTGTTACACAGTAATATTAACTGATGACGTTTCGAGCACAAATTATTGCTCATCAGTTAATATTACTGTGTAACACTGTGTGATTTATCAAAATAAAATCTTATCCATAATGGAGTTACACTCTACCACAGTGCCCAAGTTTTATACTTATATCAAGAATACGAAAGTATCTGGTATGCTGGTAAAGATAATCCACTTTAATTGTACAAATCTGAATTTCAATATAGAAAATATCCCCATTTAGACATTTGGAAAACAGAGAGGTTGAGCAAGAAATATTTACTTTTCAATTAGATCCTCATTTCTGGCTTTACTCTAATATACATAGCATTTTTATTCTAACCATTTCTACCTTTTAATTGTGTGTATTGATTTTCTTCGTTAATTATCAACCCATTGACATTTTGACACTGACTAATTATTGTTAACAAACATACCAGTGCCGCTTGATTGGTAAACTGTTGTGTATTGTAATAAAAATGCGATATGTGTATATTGGAGTAGAACCAGAGTGAGATGAGGATCTAAGCATGGATATCGGTAGCCCAAATTTTGCAGGCCGACCACAGATATCGGGTGTGTGTCTGTAGGGGATCTAACCCCGGACCATGTGCATGGTCGGCAAGAGTCCTAACCACTGTGCCACCGACAATGCTGAAAATGCCATACTTGTACTGAAAATACGGTGTGGCATCAAGCTGTAGTCAAAATAAAATAAATAAATAAATAAATAATTGAAAAGTAAATATTTCTTGCTCAATCTTTCTGTTTTCCAAATCTGAATTTATCTCAATTAATTTGTCTTCATATGACATGTGTGTGTGTGTATACTACCTATCTAGTTACAGGATTTCATCATGACCAGCTGACATTGGTTAGAGAACCATTGGAAAACCTGCAGGGAGTACTGGGAAGCTGTTTCCTTCGTCTTATCTTAGTTTGGGACTCTTCATCAGTACGTACCCACCGCCAATGTTCGAACCCCAGGTCCTTCTGGTTACAAGGCAAGCTGGCTCATAGACCATTAAGCCATTGGGACCCGAACTAGGACGGGGAAAACAGCTGTCTGGCAGTACTCCCCTGGAGGTTTTCCAATGGTTCTCTAACCAATGTCAGCTGGTCATGATGAAATCCTGTCACCAATCAGTGAAATCCCTACACAAACCAACACTTGACTACCACCTATCTAGTGTTTGCAAAGTCCCTGTGAATTAAGTTTTGGTGTTAGTTATTATTACACGCTCATCTTACTTATATTCTCAATTTTCACATTTTGAATAAAACAAAAAATATAATTGAGCCAGCAAAGAGTATCCTTTTCGATAAATTCCTCCTCCTCTTCTCCCTCTACAATTATATCTATATATGCATGTTTATATACATAGAATATTCTAGATTAGTAGTCAATAACAATATTACTGTGTGCTTTTTAAATAGTAATATCGATTTGTAAAGTAAGATCACAATGGAATCACCACAGTTCATTAAAGATGCTTAAATAAAGATATAGTAGGAAATAGAATATCCACAAAAATTCAGGATCGATCATTGAAACCTCGATGGCCAAGCTGGTGAGGATAATGTCTGAACCAACCAACTTCTTTTGGATGCACAAATTAGGCTTGTTAATCTGGATCCCAACAGCCAGCCAACCAGCCTCAGCAATGTATTTACTAGTCGAACTGTTAAGGCGAAATTGAGATTTGTTAGTTGGTATGCGGTAAATGACCGTGAAAGCCGCCGCCTTGTTGATATCAATCAGTCTTGTGTTCTGTATCCACAAGACGAGATAAAATAGATTTTGTTTGTTCTTTGCTTAACCAAGCGGGGTGATGTTCGGAAATTCGACGAGAAACAGGCCTAATTGTGTACGGCCTATGCAAGTAACTGGCTCACTCACTCCACAGGAGCAGTTGAACTGAATACACTCTAGTGAATCTGCCTTGTATGAATCATTGTGATACATTACTGGTGTTTTCTATCACTTATTGTTCAGTTGGTGTGATTTATTTATATATAAGCGCGTATACTTTAGATTCGTCGTAGAATATTGTTTGTTGGGTGGTTACAAGTAGTTGATATCAGGTTGGTAAATTTGTAGTGTGATACAATTTCATTAGAGTTTCGTCGCATTCTCCTTTGTCTGTAGTGGCAAATAAAAGCCACAGATCCAGAATGTTTGCTTTTTTTGTTTTTGTTTTTTCGCACACTTATTCATCATATCAATGCATATTTCTAACGTTCTTAGATGTAGAAATTCAAAACAAGGGGTGATTCATTATGGGTAAATTTTTATTTTGATAGAGTCTCACAGTGTTATACAGTAATATTTACTGATGACGTTTCGAGCACAATTTATTGCTCAAGTTCAAACAGTATTCGTCAACAATCATCGGGAAGGGAAGAAAGAAGGAAATTGCAGCACGATGTTCGCCATTGATGACTGCGATTCTTGGCCATATCCGATAACGTTTCGAGCCATCGATTCGGGCTATCTCGCGGACCCCAACCAGGGAGTCGTGACGCACCAACCGATGCTAATCTAGCACAAACATCCTTCATCCCACGACGCCACGTCATGGACTGACCACCCCTTCGCCTTTTCCATCCCGTCCCATTACTGGCTAGCGGACAGAGACCTGTAAGGAAGCCTCTGGGATGACATTCGCAGCACAAGTCCAAGCCACCGGAGCCGGTGTTTCCAGATGACGACACTCAATGAATGGTGATCTCCACTGTGTCCAAACGCACGTCGCCAGACCTCAGAATCACTCACGCGATGATGCCATCGAATGTAAGCAATCCTGTGGAGACAGCGACGATCGAACACGCATTGCCGCCGCACATCCTCAGCTGGGAGAGGCCAGGTTTCACAGGCGTAGAGGAAGACAACCCGCACCGAAGCATTGTATACCCGACCTTTGACAGCCAGGTGGCTAACATCGCGACGGCGTCAGAGGTGGCAGTAACTCATGGAATAAGACATTGCGAAATGTTCGCGCTAGCTTTGTCGTGCGTGAATTTGGCAGAAGTTAGAATTCAAGGACCATTGGAACGGGTCCCAGTGGCTGCTTAATCGTCTACGAGCTCACTAGCTGGCCTTGTAACCAGAAGGTCCTGGGTTCGAACCACAGTAGGTTGGGGTGCGTACCGCTGAAGAGTCCCAAACTATACTGTCGAGTAGTCCCAGGTTGGTTTTCCAGTGGTTTTTTCAACTGATGTCAGCTGGTCATGATGAAATCCTGCATGCAATCAAACAAAAACTCCCTACAAAACTGCAATACTTGAATATGAGAAGTATCAAGTAAGGTAAGATTTTTTAGACACCCACCGTCAACACACACTCCTGTGTTAGGTGCTGTGTGTCTATATTCCTTAGTGTTTTTTTTCTGTGTTGTGTAATTAGTGTGTGTTATCTATCCCTTGTGTAAATTGAATTATTATTTGAATTTGAATTTGATCAGCAGATCGTTCAACTGACTATTATGGTAAGTTTTGAAAAAAAAACAACTCAAAAAACCGCCTTAGTTGGTGTTGTCCACTTGTGTAGTTAGTTTAACGCTTATTATTATATTTATTTATTTATTGTTTGCTAATTAATGTATTTCACTTGCTTGGCATGCATTAGATAGACAATAATTATATTAAGTTTGCATGATATTATATAGCATAAAATTTTTTGTATTTTGCCTCTCTAGTCAGTCAAAAATGCTGACAATTTTTGTGTGTGTGTGTGTACATTGACATATTGACATGGCAAAGTTAAATTTTTAAGTACCACCAATCAATCAGCGAGCGAATGACCTTGAACAACGCACCAATCACGTGAAGGAGGCATTTATAAAAAAACCAATGCATAAAAACTCATTATAAATTATTTAAATTAATCCCAGCGTGTTTAAGAAAAGAAGTGAATCAAAACAAGATCTGTTTTCTGAACGTTTCGCTGTGTAAGCTGCCACAGCCAGCTTCTTCAGCAGCAGATTTATTCGGATTTTTATTAATTTTCACATAAATTGAAGTCAGTTTATTTGAAGGTCTCTCGTCGATAGACATTTGTACCAATAGAAATATGTAAGCAGTCATCAATCATATATTTGTAATGACTAATGTCAATATCGAAAGGACCCACCCAGTTGAACAACTTCAAAGACTATTTGCTTCCTAAAGTCTATGTCAAGCGCTCTAATTCTCTGGAGAAAGCGTTGGTACATGTCAAGGACATGGTTCCCAAAATGTCACACAGTAATTGTGTCTATAGGATAAAGTGTTCAGAAGTGTGAATCTTGCTATATAGGGGAGAGCGGTAGACCGGTGAAGGTCAGAGTGAATGAACATAGACTATGCACGAAACGTCCCCGCCTAGAAATGTAGTAGAATTAAAAAGTCTGGGGAAAAGATCGGCTATAGCAATGCACGCTATCATCTATGGACACCGGACATAAGATTGATTTCGACAATGTCGAAATTCTTGCAAGAGGATTTCATTCAACACACATAAAGGAAGGTTGACTTCTAAAGCTTTGCACATTTGAACCACATCGAATGCAGTATATAAGAAGGAGAGAAGGGGTAGACTTATCACCACCTATATGGCAAACTCTAATGAAGCAAGACAGAAGAAAAAATCAACAAAAACTCCATGAGCCTTCATGTTTATCACATGTGAATTGACGTCTTTTCTGTCATATGACAAATAACATACACTCACACACACTCATACAAAAATATACACAATGAGAATTTGACACTAGTAATTACAAATATATGATTGATGACTGCTTACATATTTCTATTGGCACGAATGTCTATCGACGAGAGACCTTCATATAAACTGCCTTACTTCAATTTATGTAAAAAATGTTTTGACTGTATGTATTTTGATGATTAATAAAAAATCCGGATAAATCTGCTGAAGAAGCTGTGGCAGCTTAAACAGCGAAACGTTCAGAAAACAGATCTTGTTTTGATTTTCTTCTTTTCTTAAACAATCCGCTGGGATTAATTTAAATAATTTATAATGAATCAATCTGACTCGGCGCTCAAATTATTCCAGGAAGTTCGTAACACCTACGGTGTGGAAACTTATAATGCATAAAAACTGTATAAAAGTGTTACAGAGAGGATACCTTCCTCTCAAATGTGATAAAAATAGCTCTCAGTTTTAGGTTGGAGTATCAACAGAGTATAATTCCCCATTGTGGGTAAAATTTATTCTGATAAAGTCTCACAGTGTTGTTATACAGTAATATTTACTGGGTAATAAATTGTGCTCGAAACGTGGTCATCAGTAAATATTACTACTGTATAACAACTCTGTGAGACTTTATCAGAATAAATTTTACCCACAATGGGGAATTATACTCTACCACCACAGTGCACAAGTTCTATTCTTATATCAACAGAGTAATTTAATCACATTCTATGCATGGAATTATTTAGGTCTTCTAATCCTAACAATAACCCCGAATCTTTCTTGAACCTATCCGTAAACTAACTGTAATCTAACTCGAACCAACACCCTTATGTCGCCTTTATTGGGGGTTAACCTAACCCTAACTTGTCCTTGGCTTAAAGAATAGCTTAATCTTCTCTAAACTTATGCTGTAACTTCCCAGATATCCCATTCAATAAGCATAACACTTCGATGAGCATATTTTATTGATGATGACAACATTATTTATTTACCAGATTTCACTAACTTGCTCAGTGAACGTTTCAAGGTCATCGGTGCGGTCGCACTCCACTGGCAGTAGTTAGTGGTGCTTAAAGTTTAACTTGGTCGACATATTTCTACTTTCGTTATTTTTACATGCATGCTTGTGTCTCTCTAAATATTATATATATATATATGTGGCTGTGTTCTCTGAGCTGGCTGGACAGTTAATTTGCGAAGCTCTAATCGCCCTACTAGGTGACATCTTCAGCGCACACTTCAATTTGAATTAAAGTGTGTATTTAGATTCCTCCACGAGTTTATTCATCATCTCTCCTGGTGACCTTGGACGTGATTGGCTGTTTTTGTGTTTTCACACCTAGGTTAATTTTATTGTAACTGATTGTTTCTTTGACTTGAACTTTGACCCTTTGTGTGTGAGGTTTCTTTCTTATCGGTTGATAAATTTTGTCTATCTCGATGTGTCTATCTATTGATTGATGATTCACTGGAATACCAGGTAGGCTTCTGAAAATTCTCTAGCATTCTTGGTGTTGTTTCCTTTGTCTAATATTTGAAGGTTGGTTGTACCAGTCTAATTGATGTTCGTGGTTTTCTATATGTAGTGAGGTGATATGAGCGAGGGAGTGGATGTCATGTCTTTTGACGGATAGCTTATGTTCGTGGATACGAAGACGAAGGGGACGTCCACTCCCTCATATCACTACATACAGACAACCACCGACATCAATTCGACTGGGACACCAAACCAACGTTCAAATATTAGACAGAGGAAACAACACCAAGAATGCTGGAGAATTTTCAGAAGCCTGCCTGGTATTCCAGTGAATCATCAATCAATAGATAGACACATCGAGATAGACAAAATTTATCAACTGATAAGAAAGAACCTCACGCACACACGCAAAGTTCAAGTCAAAGAAACAATACCAGTTCCAATACAAGTAACCTAGAAGGTGTGAAAACACAAAAACAACCAATCACGTCCAAGGTGGTCACCGACCAGGAGAGATGATTAATAAACTCACTCGTGGAGAAATCTAAAAGCTCACTTCAACAATTGAAATTGAAGTATGCGCTGAAGATGTCGCCTAGTAGGGCGATGAAAGTTTCGCAAATTAACTACCCAGCTCAAAGAACACAAACACATCAAAATCATCCACCTGAGCTACAAATCTTCTCTATCATATATATATATATATATATATATATACGTATGTTCAGTGTCGTGAATGTGTTTTCGTTGTGTTAACGAATGAGATTAGCATTACTATGCCTATGCGTATGCCTATATGCCTATCATAGTGCTTCTTTTTTGCTCATATGTATGCTCATGTAACCCTAATTATCATTTAAAAAATCATTTCATATTTAATTTGTTCAAATATGATTTTGTTTTACTTACTTGCTTACGAAACAACGACAACAAAGTCTGGATAACTAACTGACTAACTAACCAACCACCGTGTTTTTGAAAGTGTTGATTGACTTGTAAGTCAGTATTCACATTATAATAAAGGTTGTTTTCTTGTATTTCCCAATGAATGAAAAACAAAACTATAGGGTTCTGTTTTACTGACGTTTCGCTATTCAATGCTGCTGCTGCTAAAAGCTTTATCAAAGCAGTATTATTAAACCAGAAGAATTTACAAAATCCACTCAGCATATATATAACAAAGAGTTAAGAGGTGAGTGAGAAAATAGACTTGACTTGACTTAGGTCAAGTTAAAAGGAGGACATATTGAAAGTTAAAACATAACAATGAAGATCACTAAACCAAATAACAAAGGTAATAGAACATCTGTTATGATATCAAAACAAAGTTTTCTAACTTGATCATCGTTCGTCAGTGTGGGGGCATTTTTCGTTGTCAAGTTTGTCAATTGGCAAAGATAACACAACCAAGTGTAGATTGTTGGATTTGATCAGCGTGTAAAATTATAAAACAGTGTGTGTTTATATGTTATATGATATTGCGTATCACATTCGTGTAGACTTTGTCACTTCATGGGAAGGGTGTCGTAAGCAGGTCAGATTCTGGTTTAGTCCATCATTCCTATTCAGACATTTCGGATTACATCAGATGATACGAGGTGCTTCTGATAATACTAGACGTTCTTTGTGATTTCTGAAATGCTTTTTCTGGATGATGATTTCAATATTGTCAAAACCAATTTCGTGGCCTGATTCTATAGCGTAGCGTGTAGACGACCTATGACTGATGATTTTTCAAACTTTTCTAGTTGAACTGAATTTATTTCTCGGTGGTCGAACAGATGCTCTACGGTGTTCATTTCTTCTGATTTTGATTTCTCTCTGGTGATGTTTGTCCGATGTATATCGCATCACATTCCAAGCATTTTATTTTATAGACACAATTAGATAGAGAATCTTTCGGGATTTGGTCTTTTATATGGACAAGGTTGTTTCGCAGTGGGCGTGTCTGATGTTTTGAAGCAAACTCTATTGTCGAGCTGATTGAGTACTCTTCTGATATCGTTTGACGTCTCTGCTCTATATGGACTGACGACTGTCGTTGTCGATGTTTTTGGAATACGTTTTCGGCCATACTTAGTGTCAGTGTTGATTTTGTTGATGAAGTTCGTTGGGTAGTTGTTTTGCTTGAAGAGAGTTTCAGTAATGTTTGATATTTCTTCTTTTTCTTTCTCGTCGGTTATCAGAGAGTGTGCTCGTCTAAGAAGACTTGAAACAACTGAAATCTTTGCGCTGATGGGATGTGATAATCTGAAGTCTAAATATTTGTTGTTGGAGTGGGCTTTCTTCCTGAATATAGATGTACTATTACCTTT